TATATATATATATGTATATATATATATATATATATATATATAAGGCCGATTCCGTATCTAGAGGTACTTCAATTTTAAGCAGAAGTAGCAATCACTATATCTGTAGAGCAGGGTATATTAGGTTACAATGTGATACTGTAAGTGAAGATAAACACCAACAAACCGCTGTGCACAGTCGGATTACGACCAAAATAAGACCAATCATACAATATAAAATCAATGTGTGGCATATAGTTTGATGGCCTGTATTGCGATGGGATTGAAGCAGTTCATTCTTCTTGTTTCTATACGGATGCCGTGACTGAGTATGTACGCCTCTATGAAGTGTATAGATGGCGGTGCCTGCTTGTCTCACCAAAGCAAATATAATATGATACGCAGGATATTGGAATACCCGTCTGGAGGAATGTACATAATCTAATTGGGACTGAGTATGAAAAGTATCTGTGTGATGATATAACCAGCTCTGCAGAAGTGACTCTACCTGGGCACGAGCGGGGGAAGTAAGTAGCCAGCCGTAGCACGTCTCAATAGTGTCTCGCGCATTGCTGGTATTACACACCGAGGCTGTTTTTATACAAGTAGATTGCAACTATATAGTGTTTTATATTCGGTGTTAAAGTCGGCCAGGCTACACCGGTACAGTACCAAACACTCCCTATTGGATGGACCTTCTATAATCGAGGCTCAAAGGTCAATTTGCATTTTCTTTATATAATCGAGTCCCAAAATTTAATTTGGATTGGCTTGATATAGTCGAGTCGGAAATGTGTTCTACTGGCTGAGTGATCCCAGCTAAAGTATAGGACCAGCGCATTCGGTCACGTTGTGTACCTAGGTTTTCCTCTACTCAATACTTCGAAAATAGCAGTTCATAATATCTATGGTGTGCTTGTATGCATACGCACACTCATACATACAAGCACACCAAGGTTCACTTTGATTGCATATATGTGTGTCCGAAGTTCAGAGGACACATAGAAAAGCGATGAGTACTATTGCCCTATTTGAGGATTGCATATGCCTACCATATTGCTATACCCCTATGTTTTTGCATGTATACAATATTGATTCACTCCTACGCTAGGCTGTGTGGTATAATTTCAGGTGACAAGATGTATCGCATACTTAATATGGATATATGTGTGTGTGTCTTTGTATATTACTCATATTCGTTTGTGTTGTATATTCTGGTAGGCTGTGCGGTATGACGTCGGGCGATTGGATGCAGCGCGTATTCAAGCCGTGGTTGGTTGAGAAGATGCCACACGTGCCGGTGAGAGAACCATTCAAGAACGAGAAGGACTTCTATATGCGCATGAAGATAAACAAGGAGAAAGCCAAGCGGAAATTATACAAGGTGCGTAGTATGTGTATTATACGAGTTGAGCCATACAGGGATGCTATGGATTGACTATGCGCATACCATAGATGGTGGTATGCGGACGAAGAAGCTGTATTTTTTCTTGCTGAGTGGGGGGTTATTTATTTTTGGATTTACGAGCTCATGTGGGCAGGTTATTTGACTGAGTAACCTATACAGTTTGAATATCCACACCTCATCCTCTTCGCGACACGTACCCCAACATACATACGCAAGAAAGAACAAATAGGTATAGGCCCGATGGATCAGCACAATACAGAGTTATATTCTTGTATAAACCTATGTGCACAGAATCGCATACTTGTGTAAATGAGTATAGTTTTTCATACGACATTGTAGATTTCCGTATATCATCACCAACATTTGTGATGAATCAATACGTACCACTGCATATACATATGCCATCTCGTGAACTTACACACTCCTGTGTCTGTACAGGAAACGCGCTTGGGTGGAGATTTTGTTGTGCATGTAACGCATCCCAAAGCACTGGACATGTGTATCGCTCCGTTTGAGTACACAATGCCGTCAAAATACGATGGGCAAGACAATAGAATAACCTCGCAGAAGGTGATGATACCGACGCTTACCAACATCGAGAAACAGGTATGTACGGGTGTGTGTGCAGCTAAATACATTGACTAGAATAACTTCGGGGTCGTATTCGCACAGTGTTTTATATGCGTCCACCATTGTGATTTGAATGTCTTCTGAATATCACAATCAATTCGTATCGCCATGTGTTATTAGTACACCTTAATCCATACCTGTGAACATCAATATAGAGCTATATACTTCTTCTCATTTGTATGTTGGTAAGCGTGTAAAAGTTTGAATCGAAAGACGGTTATATCCGTATATACTTTTGAAATATTCGTGCGAGGTTATTTTCAATAGTACCCTGTCTGACAAACTCATGCTACAGGTGCACTCGAAGCCCTACGGTCAAGTACAGTGCAAGCAGTTGACATCGCACACCCAAAGACTTGGAAGTTCTTGATGGCGTTGATGGCAATATTGGATTGTGATGCTTTCCATCAAACGTGCTTGATGTATTAGTCATTTAATTTTATCTTTTCGGTTGATCACAGCTATCGGATTACTATGGCGAATGGCAAACGCCCGACCGGGACCTCGACGATCCCAAACCGCGGAGAGGTCACCAGTGTGGATACATGTTCCTTGCAGTAGCTACCTTGCTGATATTAGGTGCAGCCTACTTTGCTACAAAGACATATAGGAGCATGAGGAGCATGATTTGTGGAAAGTCAGCTCGAAGAAGTTTATCGAGGCGGTCCAGCGAGATGATCAAGCAACTCATTGTTTAAGGATCAATCTACGCGAACTTTAGGCCTAAAGTGAATAATTATTAGTACACAATTGCGACAAAATTGGACTGATCAGACCCAATCAGAAATTAGAAAGAATATGACCGCTCGTGCGGTCATATTCAGTATGTACATACTACCTGTTTCAGGAAAGGAAGCAACACTTAATAAGCATCATGGGGGAGGGTCAACAACTTAATCACAAATGCTAGTGCGGCCGACTTTAATATGACGCTCCCACAGTAATTGGCGCCAGCCATGGAAATAAATGACTTTAAAAGCACAGGACTTGAGCATGAAACTTAAGCACGCAAGCTTGTGATACAAATGCTTCGTGACCCTCTACAGAAGAAATAAAATAATATGCCTGATCGGACTATTGTCCGAAGGACAAATGTTTCGAGCAAAGATAGGACTAGTAAATCACGAATAGAGGCAAACATATTTTCCCAGGCAATTTCATGTTCTAATAAAATTTCTGGAAGTAAGTTTTGCAACAATTTTCCCTGGATACACATTCTGGGAGAGACAATTGCATCAAAAGACACTCATTTCTATACGAAGCTTCCAATAAAGTAGCACAATTCCAAAATTCGTGATTTATTGATTCAGATTTGCAGACAAAAACTCAAAGTATGAATATATACTTTATCATATAAACAGGCTCGCCAGACGGTGGATGGCTGATCATTTTCTATATTTTGTGTCCTCAAGGACTTGATATTAATTTTATGACTTGATATTAATTGTATGGATGTGCAACCCGTCGCATAAATTGAACAAATATTTTATTTTCAACGTTGTGAAGAGTACATCATTTGTAAACCCGTTTGGCAAATTAATTGCGCAGCTTCAGTGGTCATGTTTTATCAATTTACATACAAGCAACTTAGAAAGTGGGCCACCTTTATTCATCAGGACTTGTCAACATAATAGTTTGAATAGTCAATTTACTGTTGCTTCTCAAACAATACATATATGATGTTTAATGGCTCGTCTATACGTTGTTCGATTCCTCGATAGAGAAAGTGTTAGTTTATTGGCGAGTATTCAGTTACTAACTTTATACTCTATACCTCGATTAGGTTCTCAGGTTGGCGAACTGTGGATAGTCCGCTTTTTTCTTTATAAGCGAATGTTTGTCAGAGAGGTGAAACTGTAGTGAGCGCCAATAGCTGTACGTTGCGCCGCATTGATATTCTGGACAGAGGTATATACGATTTTTTCGGCGAACCCTTTTCTGTATGCTTCCTGAATGACTTTTGGATGATCGCGACTTCGAAGACTTGTAATCTCGTTTATATTCATTGGTATCTGTCGGCATTACAATTTGACGTAGCTCTTTGAGAATTTGAGTATATTTAGCGATGTCTTCTTGGTAGAGAAATACCGTTGTTTCATTGGACAAGTATTCAACATATTCTTCTACTGATTGACTACTCAATTGTCTTTCGTATGATAAAATTGGCGAATCTTGTTGACCAAGCAGTTTACTTGTCGTGTAGCTCACGATGTGTGAAAGAATTGCATTCCTGTATGCATTAAACATTTTTATTTAGAGTATGCATGTATCCTACGGATATGCATTCGTTGTTATCAGTATATATAAATAAAATATTTTATCAGAAAGTGATGGATCGAATCTACTCTTCTCTGAAAGAATGTCGAGAACTGTGCGTGTGACGATGACTGCGTGTGACTGTGTGTAACTGTGTGTGTGTGTGTGGGGGGGGGGGGAGGTCAGACAAGTCCAGAGTCCAGTATGATCAGTTTCCAGAGTCCAGAGTCCAGCCACTGGCAGACGGTCAGGCGTCAGCACTCAGCGCAGGGTCTGGAACTCTGGACTGTGAGTTGACTGAGGCAGAGACTCCAGAGTCCAGAGTCCAGAGTTAAGTCAGAGTCAGAGTCTGAGAGCAGTGAGAGACTGTGAGATTGAGCAACATATAATTTACAGTCTTGACTGTTGTTGCAGTTTAGACCAATCATAGAAAAGTTCTTGGGAGATCTTGTGATATAAATAGAATACATACGTAACTAACTAATTAAAATATTTTATACATCAGGCATGTGTATTTATATCATTATGATATGATACGTAGTACTTGGCGGACTAGCGGGTTCTTTTTTTCGATTGTTAGTTAATATGGGTATTTGTGTTTCAATTTAAAGGGCTATGCCGCTATGGTATATGTTTTGATTGTTTTTAGAAGGCAATGTTTGTTTATTTTAAAACAAAAAGGCTAATTTAGAACTCAGGAGGCTATTTATGTTCGATTTAGACGGCTATTCTATTTATGCTTTTTTGTTTCTGTTTTTGAAAAAAAAACCCCCCACAAAAGAAAACCTCATACATAAGACGTGCCACTTGTGGAGTGTGGGCCACTGAGCCGCCTGAGATGCAATTTGTCTTCTCCAAAGCTTCGAAAAATCATAATCTGTATTTATGGTGTTTATGACGTCTGTACATACTTTGTATGTTTGAGAAGGTTACATATGTCTGTAGTACTGTACTCTGTACGTGTCCGTACAACCCTTGTGTGGCATTTTGTTCCATTTATATATAATTTACACTGGTTCTTACAAATGAGTCCTAAATAGACAGAAATAGTCGGCGTTTTGAGACATTCATTTATTGTAAGAAGGCGAAGGCAAGAACGCAAGCAACGTTGCAATATTCAAAAGCACACTGCAGCGTCATCTAGGTCCAGAAACAAGGGGCCGTGCTGAACCGTCTATTATATATGGTAGTTTGAAATTGAAATAAAACTAAAGAAACGCAAAGAGTCTGTACTTTGATATGTTAAACTTT